GCCCGGCTGATTTTTTGATTTATTGTAGAGAAGAGGTCTCACTGCCAGGCGAGTCTCGAACCCGCGGTCTCAGGCAATCCACTCACCTCAGCCTCCCAAAGGCGCAGGATTACATGCTGAGCCACCGAGCCCAGCTCATGCTCTGTTTATTAGCCCTGTAATCTAATAAACATGCTCATGCTCTGTTTATTAGCCCTGGGCAAGTTGACCTCTCTGAGCTTTATTTTCATCATCTGCAACATGGCAATGGTAAAATAGCAATAACAATGCTGCCTAGTGTAATTGAAACAAGGATAGAGAAGAATTACTATAATAGGCCCTGCTTATAGTAAGAGATTCACAAATGGTAACAATAGGTATAGCTTTATTTCCCAAACACAGTGCCTTGCACAAAATTAGAGTTTATAAATATTTGTGGAAGAGAGGAGGGAGGGAGGAAGGGAGGAAGGAAGAAAGAGGGATACTTGGAAAAGATTCACGTTTAGCACTGGTATACATCCTGACCACTGCTTTCCTCTTTTTCATTCATAATTTTTATGATTATATTATATATATAAAAATATATTTAAAAATATATATGTATCATAGACATTTGTTGAATACCATGGACTATTAGCCAGCACCACAGATCCTGCAGACCAGAGCCCTCTGGTGATTGCCACTACAGCTTTGCTGCCTGTTACAGCAATGACGTCCACCTCACCTCCCATGGCTGACGTCACCACCTGGTCTCTGCTACTCCAGAAACTGATCACTTCTGCTGACACTGGGAAGCTCAGTCCCACGGCAGCTTCTCCTGGCATCACCCTCAGCCTACAAAGGACAGCCACCACCGAGCTTTTCTGTGATGCAGATATACCTCATCCCTTGTGTCTTTAGTGAAGAGTACCCACTAAACCCTTCAGGGGAGCAGAGCCAGCTGGTAAGTTCTCTGGTCTAATATAACAAATCCCTTCTGGCAGGCCCACCTCTCTGAGCCTTTTTTTCCTCAGTACTCTGCCAAGATTCTTCTGAAATCTTCTCTTCCTTAATGCAAACCCCCATTCTCCCCACTCTTGAAGAAGGCATCCCAACAGCACAGTGGGACCAAATCCAGGTGCCCTTATGATAATGTGAAGTCCTGAGAATGCTCCATATGGGTAAACTCTTCCATCTTATCTTCTGCTGCCCTCCCCCTCCCATCCCAGCCTGAAACCCTCAAGATGCATGTCCAAGCACATTCTACTAGTTCCTCCCGGTTTATGAGGTCAAGTTCTGAAGCTCCTTCAGCAGAGAATCATGTTCCTTCCATCCCAAGGCAAGTCTTTCTCCAGACAAATCATCCTGAGACTTGACCCTAATGATCCGTCTAGAATAGTAAGAAGTCCTGGGCAGTTTTAGAGGAAGGCAAGTATCATCATGTAAAGTATCCTTCTTGGCACAGTCTCCAAGAAGGGGAGTAAGCTCTCTTTCAGCAAAGAGGAACAGGAAATTTCCTTCTTCAGGGAAACCTCAAGTTCATCTGCTTCATTGTTCCCATTCCAGGCCTCTGTGTCCCATTTTTTCCTTATCAAGACCTTGACTTAAGTGTAGCAGACTTTGCCAGGGTGGTAAATTCCATCTTTCAAATAATTCAGCTACTCTCCCCATTAGATATTAGGCCTGACTTTCAGCACAGTCTGCCCTCCATCTGCATCAGAGGAGTCTCTTCATCCCATGCCCTGAGGGCTTTGATTGCACTTAACAACCAACTAATCCCACAGTCCTTACAATGACCATCGTCTTCATATCTCCCATCTGTTATAGATATTGTCTTAGCCAGTGCCTGCCTTTCCATGTGTACTGCATACCAGTCTGCTACAGGGGAGTCTTAGTATAGTCATGACTTACATAATGACGTTCCAGTCAATGATGGACAGCATATACAATGGTGATCCCATAAGACTATTATATTGTATTTTGTTGTGCCTTTTCTATTTGTTTAGATATACAAATACCTACCATTGTGTTACAATTGCCTATAGTGTTCAGTACAGTAACATGTTGTACAGGTTTGTAGCATAGTAGTAACAGGCTACACCATCTAGCTTTGGTGTACAGTAGACTAGACCATCAAGTTTGTGCAAGTGCACTCGATGATGTTCACGCAATGGTGAAATCTCCTAATGATGCATTTCTCGGGACATATCATTCAATGAAATTGAATGTAATCGTGATGCTACAATGTGACTTATTGCTCTACTGCCTACTGCATGATAGCTGAGAGACCCAAAGATAACTATGCTGGATTTTACCCATTTGCTCCCTTAGACACATTCTCCACCATTCTTCAACCTGCTGCCCAGGGGGCCAACATTTACGGACGGAGTCCATGGACTTCCTCACTCTCTCTTCCCATTTGATCCCCATTAGATTCAACAGAAGACCAGGGCATGGGAGGTCCCCAGCCGCAGTTTGGAAAGGGCTGCATCTCCTGTCAGGGATCCCTCTCCAAAACTTGCACTCTCCTCAATATCCCACTGCAGTATATAATTTCTTTCCTGCCAGGATTCTTACTGCTGCTATGATCGTCTTTTCTCAAATTCTGGCAAGTCCTTACTGCCTCAGAAAATCTTGAGGAAGGTTCTTCGAGATGGGTTGAAAAACACTTGAGTGGTAGCATCCAGGATCACCCCTAAACATCACCAACTGTCCCAGTGGAGGCCCCAGGCCTCCACTCCTTTTTATGTTTGAGTGACTTCCTTTCCTATCAACATATCTGCTAAAGGTTGGGATGGAATTTGCTTGCCTTTTGTTCCCAGATATTCACCTCACATTGCAGCGCCCCACATCAATCCCAACATTTGCTCTACTGTGTTTTATGGGGACTCCTTGAATCCTCAATTAAGGAGAAATCTTGGCTCCCAGTCGTGATATGCAGGGATATGTCCATGCAGATTATACCACCTTTGGGACTCATGCCACCCAGGGTCATCTGTCTGTGTCCCTTACTAAACACAACATCCCAAATTAATGCTTAAGTAAAAATAACCTTGTAGTTTATTTAGTGTGCTTATTACTATTATTCCAAGTATATTGAAGACTAAAAAGACATTTTTTTTTTAAGTTTTCAGGAGTTTAAAAGAGAGAGGACATGCTTTATTGACAGTTTAGATTTTTCTGGCATATTATGAAAAAGGGACAAGGTTGAATTTAACACCCCAAAATGCCAGAATTAAAGGCATTTGCATAAAATGAGAAGTTTTGTTTTGTTTTGTTTTGTTTGGCACGGGATCAGCTGCTATAAGATTTTAGAGAGGGCAAGAACTAGACAATCATAGACTTTTTTTCCTCTAAGCTAGAGGTGCAGTTATACCCCTAAAAAATGTAACATTTCTGAGTTCATAAATTACAATTTAAACTTAAAATACGCAAAAATGGGGAAGAATACTTGTGATTGACCATTGGGCCATAGCTTTGGGAAAGCATCAAACTCTAAAAACATGGATTTCATTTTATAGATTTTATAAGTTGCTAAGGCTAAGTGATAGCTTCTAGTTACATATTTTATTTCTGAGGGTTTTTTTAATCACAAACTTGACTCTACATTAAGGATTTAAAGGAGTTTAGGGAATTTGATCTGCAAAAGAATTACCAAAACCATTTTTTAATTTGAGCTACTGTATGTATAAATCTAAGCAGTCTCTGTTTCTTGTAGAGGTAATTGCTCAGTTCAAAGGGGAAGGGAACATTTTCCCTGAAGAAGCTAGCAGTTGGATTTCCTTTAGGGTAAGAAAGATTGGTACATTGGTTTTCTTAATTCCTAGCCCTTTAATCATAAATCCAGTTTGAGACTAGTGGTTAAATAACATGTGAGAATTTAAAAGCGTCCCAGCCCCCTTTCCCTAACTACATTGAATGCATTTAAACCATTGGCATATTATAAGTCAAAACTGGAGGAGGATTGTCATACGCAAATTACATTCCAAGACTCAAGGCAAAGAAAATTTAATGTGCAGGTGAATGAACCAGAGACATTATTTTGGTGAAGGCATACACATTGTTTTGCATTTTTAGCATGAGTATGCTGCCTCTGGGCCCCGGGCCTGAGCTGGACATAAGGGGTGACAGGTAACCTCCTCCACAGGGATGGTCAACATGGATCAGTCTTGCATCCAGGGAGCTAGCCACTCCTGTGGCTCAAACAGGTGGGCCTGCGAGGCTCAGGCCGCCAGCTGTGCTCTGTAGACTGCACCGGCCTCAGATGGTCTCACACTCCGTGGTGGCTGTGGAACAGGTCCCGCAGTCACAGCGGATGGCCACGGGGTAGGTGTAGAAGGGGTCGACTCCGGGGGCACAGTCGGGCAGCTTGACGGTCACCTGTTTGGTCTCGTTGTAGGTACAGACTCGATGATGGGCTTCAATGTAGGGGGGCTCCAGAACGGGCTTCTGTTCCCACAGGTAGAAAACAGGGAATTCATTAGAAAATGCCACCCTGACTCATTTTCTTGATATTATCATTATCAGAAATTAACTTGTTATTCACTTGTTTGCTTGTTGCTCTGTCTCCTTCCCAGTAGAAAGCAAACTCCTGAAAACAGCTGTTTTCGTTCAAGACCATATCCTGAACTCCCAGAAGAGTCCACGGCGCACAGCACGTGCTCAGCAAATATTTAGGAAGTGAATAATCCTGATCATGGCAAACGCCATCTAACTAGTCTCCCTTCTTCCACTATTCCTCCTACAGCCTATTTGTAACCCTGGAGCCCCGAGTGATCCTTTTAAAACATAAGTCAGATCATGTTACCCCTCTGCTCAAAGACCCAGTAGATTTCCCATCTCACTCAGAGCAAAAATCAAGGACCTTATGGTCACCCTCAAGACCCAATCTCTCCTTCCCTGCTCCTTTAACTCCTGAAATGTCCGTGACAAGCCCCACCTTGCTGACTTCCTCACAAGGCTCCAGCCACAGTGGCCTCCTCAAACCTACCAGGAACAGTACAGGTTCAGGGTCCTTGACCTTGCTATTCCTTCTGCCTGGAATATTCTTCTCCCATATGATTCACTCCTTCACCAACCTTACTTAGGTTTTTGTTTGAATGTCACCCTCTCAGGGAAGCATTTCCTGACCATCCTATTTAAAGTGGCAACATCAGCCAGGTACAGTGGTTCATGCCTATAATCCCAGCACTTTGGGAGGCCGAGGTGGGAGGATACTTGAGTCCAGGAGTTTGAGATCAACCTGGGCAACATGGTGAGACCTCATCTCTACAAAAATAAATAAATAAATAGACTGATAGATAAACAGATAAATAAGTAAATAAATTAGCTGAGTGTGGTGGCACACATCTGTAGTGCCAGCTACACAGGAGGCTGAGGCAGAAGAATCACCTGAGCCCAGGAGGTCAAGGTAGTGAGCCGTGATCTTGCCACTGCACTCCAGCCTGGGAGAGAGAGTGAGACCCTGACCCAAAAAAATAAAAGTTTAAAAAAAAAGGTTGCAACAGCCCACCTCCATCCCCAGAAATGTCCTACTCCTGGCTCCCGCTTTATTCTTCTCCATAGCATTTGTCAATTCCATGTGACACTTTCTAGCTTCCATCCAGTGTGTGATATTTCTCCCACTCTGAAAGTAAGGACAGGAATTTTTGCCAGTTTGCTCCCTGTTGTGCCTCCAGTACCTATAGCAGTCCCCAGGAGGATCTTGATAACTATTTATTATTGAATCAATGGAGGGAAAAAAAAACAAAAACGGAGCAAGGCAGGTTTCTGAATGCCCTGTGTGCTGTTCTGAAAGTCCAAAGACTCACTTCCTTCACCTTTGGCAAATCTTGAACTCAAAGATAGTTTTGACAAACAGAGCACATAGATCAGAAGAAAAGCAGCACAAAGTGGTTGTTAAAAAATCCTGAGGCTTGCAGTCATAACTATTAAGTCTGGGTCCCTGTTCAGCTGCTTGCTGGAGCCCTTGAAACAACATCCACGTAACCTTTTGAAGCCTCAGTTTTCTCATCTGTAAGACAAAATATCTACATCCTAGCATTGTTTGGGAAATAGTTCAGACAACATATGGGATGCATGATGCCTAGCACAAAGTAAGTGTTCAACAAATATAGTCCATTGTTCTTATTACAGAAATTATTATAGGGAAGTAATAATGAAAATAAAGACAACAAGCTTTCAAAGGACAATGTCTTCACTTGTTCTGGGTCAAAAAGAAAGAAATACACATACGTGTGTAGGCCGAAGGTGAAGTTCTTACATGAATGTCATGAAAACAGCAACCTTACCTTTGACAAGAACCATGCAGGAGAGCTGAATTTGCGCTCAACTGTTTTTTCCTAACTTCTCCCATTAACTCTGTGACCTCTGAACTTTAGTACTCTGGGAACCCAGGCAGACAAAGACACCCAAGACAATTTAAATTTCAGATAAGTAATCTTTAGCATAAATCTGTCCCATATACTATTTGGGATACACTTATACTTTAAGAAAATTATTTGTTGTATATCTGAAATTCAAGTTTATCTGAGCTTCCTGGGTTTTTTTTGTTTGTTTGTCTCAGTTTGGGTTTGGGGGAGTTTGTTTTTTTTTTTGAGGGGAAGAAGGTAGCTGTTTTGTTTTATTTTGCTTGTTTGCTAAATCTGGCAACTGTAAACCCAGATCATAAGAAATAGATATTTTCAGTAACAGGTCTACCTTCAAAAGTAAATCCAGCCACTTTGTTCTCATTTTCAGACATGTTCCCCAGTTAAGTTACAAAAATAAAAAAATTAAAAAGTGCTTTATGTCTCAGAAACTCTAGATTACTGAGAAAAATGAATCTCATTCTTTTATTTCTTTTCTTTTTTAAATTTTTATCTTAAAGCTGTGGGATACAATTCAGGGTTAGGTATATATTTATTTTCTATGGGTAATCTTCCCTTTCATAACATAGTAAAGACATAAATAAAAGCTGGCTAAAATTAGGGGGAATCTTGTTCTTTAATGATCTTGGTGCTTCCATTTCTATAGTGACAGCCCCATCCCTGACCTCCTATGGTGACCATGATCCAAGTAAAACCATTCATCCAATTTTTAAAAAGAAGAGAAGGCAGTCTGAATTGAGGGAGAACAAGAATTTGAGGATTTGGCACAGAAAGAGCTCGAAATCTCCCAGACACCAGATGCAAGAAGACAGCGACCCTGGACAAGAGGATGTGCCAAAGTGCCCTGAGGAAGTTTGTTGTCAACTGATAGAGCCTACTTAGCAAAACTGAATTTTCATTTGGCTAGTAGGTCCCAAGCCCCTGAATGATGTCAAAATAAAGCTAATTTGATAGAGTAGTTTTATTTAATTTGGAGATTTCACCACCATAACCCAGTTAAATTTCTATTTGTAGGGCCATAATCTTATCTAAGCAGGTTGTTCTCTGAGGCCCTGAAGACATTTTTTTCTAATGACTCATGCTACTCAGGTGTTTCTAAGCGGTCTTCCATTAAGCTGGAGGATATACAACTCCAGATAGAGGTTCATCCCATCTAATCCAATAAAAGTGTTTATTTATTTGTTTATTTTGAGTCAAGGTCTCATTCTGTTGCCCAGGCTGGAGTGCAGTGGCACCATCATGGCTCACCAAAGCCTCAACCTCCTGGGCTCAGGTGATCCTTCCGTTTCAGCCTCCCAAGTAGCTGGAACTACAGGCACACACCACCACGCCTGGCTAAGTTTTGGATGTATTGTAGAGATAAGGTTTTTCTAGGTTGCCTGGGCTGATCTCGAACTCCTAGGCTCCCAAATCCTTCTTCCTCAGCCTCCCAAAGTGCTGGGATTACCGGCATGAGCCACCATACCCACTCAAATCCAACAAATATGTGTTGAATGCCTTGTTCGTAAATGACACTTTGAGAAAAACTGTAAAGGCCTCAATAATGAACTCTGTCCTCAGAAAACTTAAAGTCAAAAATGTGGTGGGGGAGGAAGTAAGACAAAAGTTAGAGTGTAGACAAGGGCTTACCAGTGAGTCAGAAAAGGCTCAGCAAAGGCGCTGGCACTGCAGACAGCCATCAAGGAATAAATGTGATAATAACAGATGAAAAGGAGAGGAAATATGAGCAAAGGACCAAAGTAGGATTTCCCGAGGGCTATTTGATAAAACCTTTAAAAGTTGCTGGGTCCAGAGCTAAGAAAATGTGTCATCTCTGGAAAAGCAGGCCGGCGCCATATTGCTAAGGATCTCAAAAGTTGGTCATTGAATCTGCAGTCGTGGGTGTTCACAAAAGGTTTTTGCACCAAGGAGTGGCAGGACCAGAGTGAGCACTTCATCAGTTACCAGGGATTTTAACTTTTTTTCCTTGAGTCAGAGTCTCACTCTATCACCCAAACGGGAGTGCAGTGGCACAATCATGGCTCTATAACCTCAACCTCCTGGGCTCAGGTGGTCCTTCTACCTCAGCCCCGCGAGTAGCTGGGACTACAGGTGTGCACCACCGTGCCCAGCTAATTTTTTTATTTTTATTCTTTGTAGAGACAAAGTCTCTCTATGTTGTCCAGGCTGGTCTCAAACTCCTGGGCTCAGGCAATCCTCTTGCCTTGGCCTCCCAAAGTGCTGGGATTACAGGCGTGCCCACTGTGCCTGACCAATTTTTACTTTGTTTGATATTTTTATCCCTACTTTAAATTAAACGCCTCTAAAAAGGCCAGATATGATGAAATATAAAGGGACTTAATGGATCGATATTCCTCAAGAGTCTTGTGAATTAGGGGACACGGGTTTGTGGGAGGGGTACTGAAGGGAGCTGGGAATAACCCCCACTTACCATTCAGCTCAGGGCCTCTACCTTGGTAACTAGCTAGTTCATCACAGATGAGGGAATACAGTGAAAAGTTTTCGTTACAGGCTTAAACCAAGAATGTATTCCCAACGTTACACCGACTCTCTATGTGACTTTGCAGGCACATACCCCTTCAATCCCCCCATGTCAGCTGTAAAATGGTCAGAATAATACATCTTGACTTCCCACAGAAGATCCACAGACACACAGACACCATGTGAATCAAATAATTCATCTTCTCAATGCTTTGCTAAAGGGGCAACATCATGTCTTCCAGTTCACTGTTAGAAGATACCAATCATGGTTTTATTTTGCTTGTTTGTTTGCTTAATCCACAGGAAAGGGCAAATGCCCCAGTTCTATCTCCTGTCACTTAAAAAGTGAACTCTTAAGAATCTCTCTTGGCCGGGCTCAGTGGCTCAGCCTGTAATCCCAGCACTTTGGGAGGCCGAGGCGAGTGGATTGCCTGAGACCGCGGGTTCGAGACCCGCTCGAGCAACTTGGTGAGACTTTGTCTTTACAATAAATCAAAAATTAGCCAGCCATGGTAGCATGCACCTGTAGTTCTGGCTACTTGGAAGGCTGAGGCAGAAGGATCGCCTGAGCCCAGCGGGGCGAGGCTGCAGTGGCCAGGAGCATGCCACTGTACTCCAGTCTGGGTGACAGAGTGAGACTCCAACTCAAAAAAATCAATAAATAAAAGAATCTCTCTCACTCTTACTTGCTTCCTCAAGTACCCAAGCCAGTGCTGGAAAGTCTACCTTGCCTTAGCAGGATACCTGGCTCATGCGAGGCCCCTGTGAACCTTACCATTCCCTCACTTTACTTAGGAGGCATCTCATCCATCCTAGGAGCTATTAATTTTATTACAACAATTCTTCACAGAAAACCACCAGCTGTATCTCAATATTCAACCCAGCCAGCCCGGAAGGCATTGCCATCGGCACCTGTCTTGATGACTCACCTCCCAGGTCTCACAGCGACCCCAGCAGGCGTCCGTGGTAATCCGAAGGCCCCTGCAGCCTGGCTTCTTGGCCAGGAAAGTGAACTCCCTCACAGCACAGCCCACGAAGGTACGCAGGTTCCCGCTAGAAGTGCTGAGGACACAGCCGCAGCCAGCCAGAAGGAAGAGGGCCATGGGGCCGAGGACGAGGTATGCCACTTTCATGCTGTTCCTCCAGAGAGGGAAAGGAGAGAGTTTAACAGGTCCAGCTGCCCTCAGTGGAATAGCCTACAGTGTGCTGGTCACCATCGAAGGGACCTTGTTCTTAGCATTTCAAAGGAACATGAGCCAAAAAGTTGTCAATGCCCAGACTCCAACACAGGGCCCCAAACGTTCCTATAACTGGTGCCACAAACACCCACCCTCCAAGTGCATTCTCGGGCTTTTCCTTGTGGGACTCTGCAGTTGACTTGTGTGTTAAAGAAGCCTGTCCCAATGGTCTCTTCAAAACAAACACAAAATAGGAGTAACACCGAAAGTAATACATACCTTAACATAATACACGAATACGCATAAGTGATTTGTATTCAGGGTCAGGGTGCTTGGGAGCCATGTAACATACTTTGCTCAAAGTTATACTTTCAGTGTCATGGATGGGAAATGAATGGAAGGGTAGATAAATATTAATAATGGTATTCCCTATGTGTATTGTTACTAACCCAACCCACCACAAAACATGGATGTGCAGATGATACTAGGAAGCCTAATACCTGATTTGGTGGCCATCTGTAAAAGTGTGCCTTGCTCATTACAAATCACCTCTGCGTTATGCTTCTGCTGTCATAAGCAGCTTAGTTGTGATTCTGTTTTCATCCAAATGATGGAAGACATAGGAGGAATGTACAACATGAGCCCAGTCCACTGTCAAGTCTATCTTCTCTGGGTCTCAATCATTTCCTGTGTGATTTCAGGAGCAGAATCACCCCTTCAGGTTTCACCCACTAGACAGGACACCCCTGGATGTTGAACTAGGGAGGACATTGCATAGAAACTCCCCCCCCCAACCCCTCACAGTTCATTATGGCTTAAAATAGGCTGCAAAGCCACTTATTTCCAAATCTGATCTGACAGCTCCTACTTCTGATCTGTCACCGTAGCAGGCTCTCAGGGCTTTCCCTCAGGTGGAATGAAGTTACAAACACGGAGAAGCACTTACCTAATCTTAGTGGAGCCAACCTCCTTTCACAGCTGAAACTTGCACCCAAGATTTCAGAAAGTCACAATAAGTGGTAGAAGTTTGCTCTGGGTAGATGCCTCTACCTTCTGTAACTGGGCTGCTTGGTTGCCCAAATATATAGGAAAGGTCTTGTCATTCACAACAAAAGAGAGGCAAATCCTTACAGGAACTACTCAGCACATCAAAGCTGGAGAATATAAAGCCAGTCTCTCTTTTCCAAAACTGATGAACTTAAAAGGTGTTGTTTTGTTTCTCAACATCACCTACTGAAACAGAAAGTTACCTTGGTGGGTGGCATAATCCTAGGGAAATAGGCAGAGGCAGTTCACCTGGTTCTCAGGAGAACAAATGCATTGAGGCAAGATGGATTAAATTTTCCTTCATGGTAACCACAAGTTTCCTTCGAAACAGGAGTCAGTCACTGGCGGCTCATGGCAAACTCTTTCCTCCAACTCACAGCATGTTTCAATCCACAAAAAATAATGAAACACATGATGCTGACTGGAAAGAACACAGGATCAGTAACTGAAAGGAGAAGAAACATGTTGAAAGTCTTAAAATGAGTTAGGTAATAAATAATACTAATAGCACCTCAAGGTGAATCATTTAGGAAAAAAATACAAGATGTTCCAAGTGATTATCTTCCAGCATGGAAATTAAGGACACCTTTTCACTTCCTTTATATAGTTTTCAGCATTTTTCACATTTTCTACATCGGGTAGACATTTATAATGAAAAAAATAAATATTTTAAAATTAAAATAAACCAATAGATTTGCATTTATACTGAATGTAAGGGCATTCGATGCTGCTCTGATGAAGATGTTTCATTAGTTTTTTATCTCAAGTGACCAAAATGAAAACAAAATCATGTTTTAATGAGTATGGGGCATAGTTTATATTCCCAACTGCAATAACAGCATACAAATGGATGGAAACCCTATTTGTTCACTTCATTTTTCTGGGTGCTCTAAAAAGTAAATGAAGCAGACATCATCTTTGCCCTTAGGAGTTGGCATGGCATAGCAAATAATGACACAGCAGAGACATTTAAGGTGCGTATTAAATAAATAGTGAAACTAAAATAAGTTAAAGCATTTCCATCTTCTGCAAAGAAAGGTGTTCTTTACATAAAAGTACTACTCATTAGTTTTATTTTCAAACCATATAATAATGCCCCGTGAGTTCATCAATATACTACCCCTTCCTCTAGAGTCAGATTATTACATGTGTTTTATAGAAAATTGAATTCGGCTTGGAATGAAGGACTTTCCTCAGCCCCTCAGCCTGAGAGTAGGGTGATCAGAACTGAGGTACTCTGGGGATGGACGGCAAACCTGGCACAATCTTCAGCCAAGAGCAGCCAATCTGCAGGGGGCTGCCATCTAAAGCTGTGTTTCAGAAGAAGGCTGCTCAGCCCTTTCAGACCTATAACATACATACCCGTGTCTGCAGTGTCACAAACAAAGACAGATGACAAAAGCCAAGAGCAGCTTTCTTTCACAATCCCCAGCTTCCATAGAATGCAGAGCTGTGCATGATGCCTTCCATACCATCCGCTAAGTAATGACAACTGTAGTCACTAAGCACCTACTGTGTACCAGGCCCATGGAATCTGCTGTGCTCTTATACATGTTGTCTCTGCACCTTATATCTATTTCATTTATTTATTTATTATTTTTATTTACTTATTTATTTATTTTTTGAGTTGGAGTCTCACTGTGTCACCCAGGCTAGAGTGCAGTGGCACACAAGCTCACGGCCACCCCAGCGTCGACCTGCTGGGCTCCAGCGATCCTTCCGCCTCAGCGAAAAACATGGCCGAATTACAGGCTTGTGCTACTCCACTCGGCTAATTTATTTATTTGTTTGTTTGTTTATTGTAGAGATGAGGTCTTGCCAAGTTGCCCAGACTGGTCTCGAACCCACAGGCTGAGGCAATCCACTTGCCTTGGCTTCCCAAAGTGCTGGGATTACAGGCTGAGCCACTGAGCCCAGCTTTATAACTATTTTATAAATCAATTATTATCTTCTCTTTTGACACTGGAAGAAGTGGAGACGCAATCATTTTGGAACCTGCCTGCTTCCATAACCTTTGACAACACTGGGAAAGGCAAATGGGTCTGTTTCATCCCTCTGATCAGGTACTGTCTGGAATTCCGCCTGAAACTCTGTGTCAAGAAGGCAACAAAACCAGTCCAAGTGCAGAGGGCAGTGGCCCACCAGCTTCATCCTGGGTGTCAGAAAGGTGAATGGGGTAAGCATGCCATGTTTTACAATCCCTGCACCATGCCTTGTCACTCTTGGGGCAGAGTGAGAGGTTGAGTTGTGATTTCAAAGGTGAATTAAAGCTCTGATACCGAGCCAGGCTTGGTGGCTCAGCCTGTAATCCCTTTGGGAGGCTGAGATGAGTGGATTGCCTGAGCCTGCGGGTTCGAGACCTGCCTGGGCAACTTGGCGAAACCTCATCTCTACAATAAATCAAAATTAGCCGGGTGTGGTAGCGCACACCTGTAGTTCCAGCTACTCGGAAGGCTGAGGCAGAAGGATCACCGGAGCCCAGCAGGTCGAGGCTGCGGTGGCCGGGAGCGGCCACTGCACTCCAGTCTGGGTGACAGAGTGAGACTCCAACTCAAAAAAACAAAAAAGCTCTGATACCTACAGATCATCTAGGCTCCATAGTTGTATTAGTCTCTCTTGTGTTGCTGCGAAGGAATACCAAAAGAAAGTTTGTTTTGGCTCAGGGTTTGCATGGCGCTGTCATCTGCTGGGCTTCGTGTGAGGGCTCAGGAGGCTTACGATCATGGTGGAAAGCAGAGAGGGAGCAGGCATGAGAGAGGCAGGGAGTGTCACATGAGAGAGCGGAAACAAGACAGAGAAGGCGGTGCCTGGGCTCTTTTAAACAATCAGTTCTCACGTGAACTAAAAGAACCAGAACTCACTCATTACTGCAAAAAAGGAGCCAAGCCCTTCATGAGGGATCCACCCCCAAGACCTCACCACCTCCCATCAGGCCCCACCTCCAACACTGGGGATCACATTTCAACATGAGATTTGAAGGGGGCAAATGTCTGAACTATATGAGGAGAGAAACCTCCAAAAAGGAAGTTATTTACAAAAAATTGCACATTTATTCTTACATGTTTCAACTTCAGTCACCTTCCAAGTACTCTCCGTTTGATACAATACACCTAGCAATATGCTTTTTCCACTACTCAAAACAGTTTTTCAACTCATCCATTTTGATGCCTTTCAGTGCTTCTGCCATTTTGGTTTCACCTCTTCCACATTGGCCAAACGTTTCCTTTTGAGGACTTTTTTCATCCAGGGAAACAAACAAAAAAGTCCCTCAGGGCGAGATCAGGTGAACAGGAAGGGTGGGGCATGGAGATCGTGCCATTTGGGGTCAAAAACCGATGAACACTCAGCACGGCGCAGGCAGGTGTGTTGTCACAGTGGAAGAACCAGTCACCTGTTTGTCACAATTCAGGACATTTCTTCCACAAATTGTGACATAACCTTCCACATAAAAACTTCGGTTGACCATCTGATCCAGAGGAACAAATTCAGAGTGTACTACAAGGGACCCACCCTCCAAAAGATAATTCTGGTTTTTGGGGGGGTCCTTTCATATCAACAGTCTATGAATCTGCCTCCTTTCTTTCAGTCGACATTGAGGTTCCCACTCTCATGAGCTAGCAACCAAATCGTGAGCCATGTCTCCAAGCACAGGTCCTGGTGAATCTTCTCTCATTTTGTTCCATTATTGTCTTCACATGGATTCATTGTCACCTTGGAGGATGAGGCACAAGATACAGGACCACTAGGGGGAGGGAGAGGGGAGAGGCAGTGTATGTGAGCAGTCCTCTTGAGTTCTGGGGGAAGCAAGACCCCAGAGGAGTGAGCCAGGTGTCAGCATCTTGAAGGATGAGTGAGCCCCTGAGGTCTGGGGGTGGGGGGGAAGCAGCCCCAGTGGGGCACACTGTGTG